CTTCTTTCGTTGTGGGACACGTGTGTCTGCTTGCCTTGTTTTTGCATTAAGAATATTACGTGACAATAATAGTAGATAACAATTTGAATACAAACTCCAGCGCAGCGATGAATTAACATTACACAATCAACTCCACCAGCAAGTTGCATATCATGTGATCGGTCTTTTCTATTGTTTGTAAGCAAAATAACTTAGCGGAAGCCTTTTATGTTTTGCATCATTATTAAGATACATACCGACACTCCGACAGTGAGAAGTATGACAATAGATCTATACCACAAAAATGACTGTATCGCAAGCTATCCGTGGGGTTTCGATGTCTGTACGTGTTAACAACCATTGCAATGAAAGGATAAATAAGCAAATGGAAAAAGTGTTACACATTTTAGGATATTTTCCCAATGAAAGTTCACGAATTCATGACATATGCTCGCCTAATTTTGTAGACTTTCAATAATGAAATAAATTTAAAATATGCAAATATGTCGAATGGACTGTGTACGATGTAAGCAATCGTCTCATCTCCTGGCTTGAACTCTGAGCAGAGAGTGAAGTTAAATGGTTAAGTGAGATATTTAAGAAGAGGTTATACACCCACCCCACCCACCCCCCTCCCTCCCACGCACACCCTTTCGTGCCATGAAGAAAACGGTTACCTAGAGTGAGGGTAGTGACTAAATAACTACTCTTGTGTTCAATCTACCATGTGATTGCATTGAGTTCAGCTAGATATGCTGCAGTGTGTGGAAGAAACAAAATAGCATTTAGAAACTTGTACGACGGAAAACACCTCAACTCACAATAATCAGCGACCCCGAACATCGGCTATGTTTACATCTGTTAGCTTGGCCCCACAATGCACTTGGTGAATGTTTTCAGTCACATGATTAAATTCAAGCAAATTAATATTTTAAAAACCCATTTAAATCCTACTTATTGCTGCATGGGTTTATGGATTACCACACACCAAATGGATAATGAAATATGACCTATATAAAGAATAAACTACACATTTTAGTGGTGTTGTATTGTGTTTAAAACGTAAATATGCCTCTAAACGCAGGGGTACAGGCAATTACGTGGAAGAGCCCGCCTGTTAGCCCTGTTCGAGGATTTTCAATTTACGTCACAAGTCATTACATTACAAGTCCTCGTACTTTAACTATAATAGTTCAGGGCAAAACTATAGGGAGACAGAAAATGTTATGTCTTAAATCTGCTTTCTATTTTCCTTCTTTAGCTGTAGTGTATCATATTTTTAATCTATTATACAATTGTAAATAACACGTGGGAATGGCATTCTAAATAGTATAACTTGTTTCATTATTAACCCTAGAAAAGGTCATCAGTATAATAACAAAAGTTCATTAAACAGTGTTAAAAACATTACGTTCGCACGGACTATTTCTGACATCAGCTGATTGTCGGTAGCACTGTGCAACTCCTAGACCGGTAATCTAATCCCAATTGACACTTCTGTTTGTGAGAAAGCACTAGATATGCATAGGTGAGGTGAGGTGAAATGGGCTTAAAGGTCGCGTCTATTGCACTTATAAAGCGACGTGCATGCCCGTGTGTGCGTGCGTGCGTGCGTGCGTGCGTGCGTGCGTGCGTGGCTACTCGTTCTAGTCCGGACTGATGCCGATTTATAGTGCTAGCACACTGAGATACCATGCCGCTGTTTAACATGAATACCCCACTCAGACACAGTTTACTGACGCCGAGCCGACCAGTCCTTGTTTTAGCCCCTTAATGCCGAGCGCCAGACAAGGTAACAACAAGTACCATCTTTTAGCGTCTTTTGGTATGACGTGGCCTTCCCGGACCTTCCGCTCTCCTGGCGGACGCTCTACCACTAGACCACGGAGGCGGTCTGTATATGCATTGACACACTACAAATGCATTGAAAACCGTATTATTGACATATTTCATCCGAGTTTTGTACAGTTGCCTATTGTATTGTAGTTTGCAAGTAGTGGACTTATTAAAGTTCAGAGCATCACAAAAGAACAAAAGATTATGACGAAAGACCGTAACGCCATTTATCGCGGCGTCTTGAACTAAGTTTGTCTTGGAAGCCACCTTCAGGCTACATTCGGGTTGATAGTTTTTTCAACAACGTGACGCTACATGTATATGTGTCACAGTGACATATCACTGCATTGTGTATGCTGTACGTTTGCAAAATAAAGGCCTAGTATTGAACATAGGGCACAACAACTTATTTCCAATACGTTTATAGCATAGCAACTAAATGTTTAGATACGATAGCTACGCGATAAATCGCAAAGAACAATGAAGAACGAAGTTTGGTTTCTTTCACGATAAAACATTATTTTATCATGTCTTCGTTTCTGTAGATTCGAACAAGCGCCCGCAACTTGATGACGCGGTATAGTGGACGACGTTATTTTGGAGAGGGGAGTGTCTGGTGAGTTGTTCCCCATAGACGTAGTCGGGCAACGCAGATAAACGCAATGCACGAATGATCCACCTGTGCATAACAATGGACACGTCCGACATTGTCGAGATCGGATTCTATTGGGGGAATCATCATAAATCATAAATCATCGTATTTAGATACAGGTAAATAGTTTTAAAGCTTGTACATTTTATCATCATCCTTAAAGAGGCTGTAAATAATGTTGATATCTTATTAACGACGTGTGTGAGTCTTTATCGTACAATAAAACACAGTAGGGAGAATAAGCCACACGGGGCTGCGCCCCTCATGATTTATTTTGCCTGCAGCGTTTTATTGTACGATAAAAAAACTCACGTTCATTTCTTAAATATATTAGCAACAAATAAGTGATTTAAGAGTACATGCGTCACATTATAAGGTGGCCAAATGCAGGTCTCATATCTCAAATGAGACCAAAATGACAACAAAACACATGTAGAAGCAGCACATACAAGTTTCCCGGTAAGCACACAATGACGTATGCGACACGAGGATGTAAGCAATGCAACATGATGGGATGTAGTAAAACATGGCGTCAACTATGCACACGCGTTTGTGGTTTCTAAAGAACTTGGCTGCGGCTTTGGCAACATGCCGCGTGAAATATGGTGTCATAAGTGGTGAATACATAGTTGAAGCATTGAGATTCAACAGTCACGGCATAGCCCTTTGAGTAAGATCTGCCTCGTAATATCAACGAAGCTAAATAAAAAGTGCAAACATGAGGGCGGCTGTAAGCATCTTTCCTGCCGCAGATGCAGGAAGTGGTGGATGAGGAAGAAGCCTTGGAGAGTTTCATCACGAATTATCTTGATTACTGTGCAGTTAATGGATTATATAAGGTGGTAGAAGGGTGTAAGTGTAACGGACAATCGGAAAATGCTACAGGACAAAGACAAACACAGCACTGTACATGGCTACACTACGCGCCACTTTGCCGCTTAAACTAAAGAAAGTTATCAAGAACATGTTAAACCAGTCGCAATCGGATAAGAACAACCCAGTGAAAGCTCTCTTGGGACTTTCATTGTGGAAGCATTAGTGTCCAAGCAGACTTACCAAAGCCAGACAAACTGTACTAAAACGAGGGGGAAAGTATCAGCTCATGGGATGGCAGGGTGGAAGCAGAGCGTCCAACTGTGAGTATGGTGAGTGTGGTCAGTTTGTAGATCAAGCTATTAAGGATCGCTTCCTTGCTGGACTAACTGATGAAACACCATAAGGGAAGTTGAATAATAATGGCCACAAAGACAAAGATGGCCATATCATTTTGACCAGATAAGTAGTAGAGATGGCCAAGAACCATGAGTCATCAATGGATACGAAAAAGCTGAATGCGACTGGCGAGGGCTGATCAGGAGCAAGTCAACTGGCCAAACATGAAACCAACGCCACAAGCATGGACAGGATCAAGGGGAAGTTATACAGGAGGAAGAGGCAGAGCTGATAACAGACATGGATTCAGATTCACAGGGGCCACAGCACAAAACAGGGAACAAAATGAATGTTGAAACTGTGGTGCCTATCCAGGACATAGTGGAGGCAGCTGCAAGGCAGTGCAGTTGAAATAAATGTGTGGCAGTTGTGGCTAGGAGGGCCATATTGCAAGGTGGTGCCTGTCAGTGTGGTCAAATCAAAGTGTTGATACAATGGATAACAGTGATGACGAGCAAACAGCATGTCATCGATTGTTTGCGGTGAATCAAATGGTGAACAATGTCTTCCATAAGCCAGGGGAAAAAGTTCTCCGTCAAATGGAAACTATCAGCTGCAGGACTTGTATTCATCGAAAAGGTTCAGCTTGACTGTGCATCAACAGCAAACACGTTGGGCGTAAACAACAGTAAGCACATGTGTCAACAATGGTACCCGAGGAGGCGCCTAATGAACAAACAAAGCTGTCCTCAATACATATTGTGGTGGTGTTATCAAGCTAGTTGGAGGATCGGTTTAATATGTGAAACACAAGGGCTTTAAATTATAATTTGAACTTTTGAAGACGAAGGACATGCGGGGTAAGCCAGCTCTTCTATGTGAGTCAGATTGTGTTCAGTTAATCAGTGTGAAAGGCTACAATTCAATGACCAAAGTAGACCATGTAATAATTGTCAGCCGACCAAAGGAGAGAGCTTACAGACAAACAACAGACAAAGGCAACCCCCTCAAGTCTAAAACAACTAGTAAACCACTCAAGTGTAAGAGACTGTATCACAATTCATTCAGAACCGAACTGGAAGTTATGGAGATGGAAGCACCAGACATGCTACCGCCCACAGTGGAGAAAATACAAATCGAACGAAGGCTGATCAAGTTTTGTCTTCCCTGGGTGGTTTTGTATCACACGGGTGGCCTTCAAGCACGTCTCAAGCACCTTCTCAACTACATTTCCGGGACAAACATTCCATGCACAATGGGATTGTACACAAGAGACAATGTTGTCTCACCCCGAAGGCTTCGAAAGGATATGCTTCAGAACATTCACGCTTCTTCCCAAGAGCTTAAGAGTAATATCAGATAAGATAGAGAGGCAATGTACCGGCCAGGTATGCAGTCAGCAATCAGGTATTTGTGCTCCATCTGTGCGGTGTGTGCCACCCACAGAGCATCACTTCCCAAGGAGCCCTGCTATTACGTGATGTCCCAGATGGGCCATGACAACTGTCACAGGACCTATTTAAACACAAGGAACAGGTACAATGTGACAGCTGATCTACATAGTGATTGGTTTGAGGTTGATGTGAGAGTACAAGATACAAGATACAAGATACAGTTACAAAGGCACATTTTGCGCACACTGGGATCCAGCGGAAGTTTTGGACAGACAATGGGCCACAGTATATGGCCATGGAAGTTAAGATATTATGATGGTTTGACACTTTCGTATTCAAACCGTCACAATATCTAGAATTAGCCATGGGGAATTAGCTCGGGATCGGGCACCACCTTCAAAGAAACCAAACAAAGTGTCTATGGCCAGCTTTATTGGGGATTTCTCGACAGTGGTTTACATTTAAAATAAGAAATATTTTTACATATAAAGTACAAAGTCATGTAGACATTTACAGTTTTCACAAAAGAAGCAGTTATCACAATAGTTTAACATTAAACAACGGTTATATATAAGAGTGTAAATTTCATGTTATACACATGTATCATGGGCTAAGTGATAAAACAAACAAATAACAATTATTAAAGTTAGTCTACATAGATACCTGTGAACAAAGCTTACATAATCTTATGTGATACTTATTTTCAGCCACTCCTAATTATGATTACGCCTTGCTAAATGGGACTGCCATAAGGTATATCTCATTTACGTATAAACCTAGTTAAACCCAATATCGGTATCGAATGTACGCAGATTTAAATATAAATAACAACATGCGTTGGCTGTAACTTCTGAGCATATATCATTCATTGTTTTATGCTGGTATATGTTATACTTGAAGGCCATATCTATAATTTATCTAAACTACCGCAGCAAACAAACTATCTGATAGCATCCACATACACTGAGTTAACGGGCCCATTAACAAATGTCCATTCACATTACTGAATGGTATAATATATGGATATATGTACATTTTAGGCATTGCCCGTAATGTAGACATGTTTGCTGAAGCTGTGTTACAAATGAATTGTGCTCAGACCTATGTAAGTACAAGAGAGTTACCTATCTTATTTGTACATCGCTAACAGATTAACTAAATGATTACATGGATATTATTACTGATTTTAGCCCTGGCTTAGTTGTGCTATTAGCATAAATATGTGTGATGTAAATACATCATATATTAGCTATAGAAATTAACGTTTTCTGCCAGGCTAGTTCCATCAAAATGATTTAAAAGAGTCTTGATTCTGTTTATGAACAAGTAATACATGCAATGTATTGTTCATCATAGAATCCTTACATTAAAAGATAATGTACATACCTCGTGTGATATAAAAGGTCTGATCAAAGTGAGGTAGTTCGTCTGCATTTACACGACGTTTTCACATATACAAAATATCTGAATCACACTAAAATATCAACACGCAGATAAAATACACAGCTTGCTACCACGACACCCGAGTGTCAACATCTTATTTCCGAATCGGAACATGTTTGATATTCAATATATGCTATACCGTGGAGTTAAACTTAAACGATAGTTTTGTCTAAAACTAACGTACATATATTTGACAGATAAGTCCGTTAAATAGATACAACCCACTTCATATATTTGCACTCATACGTGGTCAATAACATAAGATTAAATACCTTTACAGCTGATAATATTGCTCAACACACGATACAAATTATAAAACAATTTAACTTATAAATTTAGAGAAATAGTAAAGTGAACATGACTTACCTTCAAAGAAACCAAACAATGTGTCTGTGGCCAGCTCCTTTATTGGGGATCTCTCGACAGTGAGGTACCCCCGGGGCTAGCCAGTATATATACTCTAGACACCTTGAATGGTCACGAATTTACTGCATGTTCAATTATCAGCTTGATAAGAAAATTTTAGTTCGTGCGCCGAGAATAGGGATTAAGGCTTTCCTAAGAAGTTTGACCAAGTGATGTCCACATAAGTTGAATAATAATTGATGAAGTAGTCCGAAAATATTGATATGAGTTGGGCGTATCAGCAAACGTGTGGCAAGCGGTCATTGTGATGGAGGCTGAGACACGTACAGATAGATAATACTGACCATGCTCCAAGGATGTTATGTAATTTTCTAGATAGCTGCGACCTTCAAATATGAGACTGATTGAATACAACACCTTACATTTAACTTAATATAACACAATAAAGACTATTACCACAGTTAACTATTATATAAATATTGAGGGGAAAATGACCAATTTTACAACTATGACAATATGAATTCAGGCATGTGACACGCTCACCTTACAGGCAAAGGACAGTCCTGCGTCAAAGAAGCAAAAAATACATGAAGAAATCTAACCTGGTGGAGGGCTTGCTTGGAGCATAGAAACACTCCTCGGGCAGTTGGGAATCCCCAAGTGAACACAACATAAGCAAATATGCGTGGAAAATACATTCTTATGAGGCGCTGCCGACTCCAGGTTACCATCCGGAGCATCATCGCCAGCCCTCCCTGCCCTTAGTGAAGTCCAACAGTCTGAGGCACCAAGTACGTCTCGGAATTGTGTTGGCATTATAACATACTGACTACTCGAGTCCAAGTCCATTCATGGCCATGCAAATACGCTTATCATACTGTTAACATTTGCACATTTTGAAACCATCGAAAATGTAAAAATACATATTTCGGAATAATATTTAATACAACACAGAAATATAACAAGTTATTATGTACGACATTTGATAGTACGTAGAAATACTCGAAACAAGGACAGCGGTCATTTTCAGCCGCTTGTAAACATTCAGCAAGTGTCATATAAAGCGAAAGTATGTAACAGATCGCAGAGTTGGATTAAACACAACAATAAAATAACAGATCAGATAGCCAGTATTAAATTGGCAAGTGTATGTAATCAATACTGAGGCGGTGATGTGACAGTTCCGCTTGGATGGGATCGGTTTCACTTTCTCCGAGGGAACAGTCACGCTGTTCTGGGCAACAGGATATGTTTGTTTCTCATAGGAAACGCTGTTCTGGGGCCCGTTCCACAAAGCGATCTCAGCACTAAAATAATCGTAACGCCCATACTTTAACAAAGCCGTACGGCAGTCATAGTGATAGATAACTTTGAGGAACAGCGCCCTTGAAGACAGAATATGACATTTGAGGAGTCGCATCGATAGCGCCACTGTCATTGGCAGTGTATCCTTTCATAAGGCTTGTCAAGGAGATCCTTTATGTGGAAATGCAGCAGAAAAGAAACTAAGGTAAATAACCCTTAGGGGAAGTAACTCTTATGTCAGAAATAGTAGTAGGAATAAAAAGTGATATTCTACCAAGTCACTCGTTATGGTTTTTATTTTAATCAATAAATACATTATTTTATCCTTAGAAATCTAATACAATGGACCGTGCATTTAATTACTTTGGATTGTGCATCATTCTAATTTAAGCAATTAGTTCTCATCCATAATTTGTGGTTTACCGCCATATTCACAACAAGATTCCAGCAATAGGACGACAACCCTTAATTCGAGCCTGGACCTGACAAACCAGTGATACATATTATGAGCATAGTGCACATGCCGTCGTGGAGCGATGACACCCAATGAACCAAGTCACCGAGTCTATTATGTCGCCTCGGGTGACACACACATGTTGTCGGGGACCTATTCTAACCCGGAATTCCAACGAGACCTCGTCGACTGCTTACATGCATGACATCAATGGCTCGAACTACGACTGTTCAGTATATCCAAAGTTGGCTCATGTGTGAATGTGTCTTGTCCCCACTGATCGACAACACTTTTTACAATCCAATTACAAAATGCCTTGTCAAAAGTGCATCTGGAGAAGAATAACTATTCAACCTATTCAAATAATCAGTACATCTGGCACACTATTAACAGTACTGAGTTAACAGCATACGGTTTACATCATCGCAACAGCTGACATGAAGAACTTACATGTGTATGTAAATGTATGTGTTGGTCATTCTAATCGTGGACTAAAAATACGCCCATTCCCACATGTGTTGTTCACTGAATAGGATGAGTAGCCAGCACGGGTTAAGGGTGAGTGAGAGTAACGGTATTCCAGTTAGATCGCGTCCGCTTAATTTTGGAGGAAAGTCCGAAGTGATGCATGGGCTGTTCACTGAATCGGATGAGAAGAAGTCAGTATAGTGTTATCAGGAGTCGGTGAATGTGGTCCACTGTATTTCCAGTTGAAGTATGAAAAACACATTTGATTTTGGCAAGATGAGGAGGTTCAATGACCCGGTAACCTCTCCTCCCGGATACCCGGGGTAAACGTCATGTGACCTATTGAGGTTATATATACAGTTGTACATACACCGTCATAGAGCTTGTGCATACGACCCACATAGCTAGCGTTGTTGACAGTGATATAGGTTTTGAAGACTGAAACTTAAAAGAAACGGACAGAGAGAGTTTCCTTGTTGTGCACCCAGTGCACGATACCATCAAGATATATCGTATTGAACAGTTTGTCGTATTCAAACCACTAGTTCATAAGGATGGCAATTAGCAAAACGCTTAAGGATCTGTGGAGAATTAGGACATTACTGATACTGTTTCTTACCCCTATTCTGTTATTGCCGCTTCCAGTACTGATACCTACGAAGGTAAGTATCAACTCATTTCATTATTCGGTTGATTTAATCAGCTTCATGTACCGTGATTTGCGCTTTTAATGTAAATATTCAAGACTCGATGTTTACAATGTGTTTAGTTTATACGTGTTTTGTTTATACGTATTATGTATAATGGGTTGTGGTGATGAGGTGAAATGGGGTTTAACGTCGCGTTCATGATTATTGCACTTATATAGTGACGTGCATGCGCGCGCGCGTGTGTGTAATAGTCCGGAATAATGCCGATTTCATAGTACTAGCCCAGTGATACATCATGCCGCAGTTTAACAAAAAGTATACCGCTCGGACACAGTGTACTGACTCCGAGCCGACCAGTCCTTGATTTAGCCCCTCAATGCCGAGTACCAGGCAGAGTAACAACAAGTACCATATTTTTCACGTTTTTTTGTATGACGCGGCTGGGGATCAAACACCCAACATTCCGCTCTCCGGACAGACGGTCTACCACTAGACCACGGAGGCGGCCTTGTATAATGGGCGTTGGCAGGGTTACTGTCATTCCGTTTGACACGTGGCGCATAAGCCTTGTTGTTGTCAGTCGTACGTACAAGCAATAACGTGTTAATACAAAATACAATACACATGTTGGTGACAAAAAGCCACTATCTCGCCAGTTACTATTTCTTAGTGTCTCTACCATGCATTGTTTGTTTGGTGTATCACTCCGCAGTCTGCATATTCCAGCTATGTAACGGCGATGGCAATATATACCTTTATCTCAACAATTTTTCACATATTCATAATGATGAACAGAATTTTTATTGGTTATGTATATTTATGAAAGCATTCAAAAGTAAACTCTGATCGTGTTGTCGATCAGAGTTTAACGTATATTTTGCATCTACCAGCTGTTGAAAACCCACTGTCTCTGACATGTGTGACAACGTTCTGGTTGACGTGTATCAAATGACAATAGAGTGTTTTGCTTGGTTATATGTGTGTATGACAACCACTGATTATATCCTGAACCAGACTGGATTATTAAAAGCAAACGTCAAAACTCTTGACTATTGATTGTATAAAATTAAACAAACTCGTAAAGAAGCTAAATCCGTTTTTATCCATATTTGGCAAAGCATGGATACTCAAGCACTTTGGTTATCGATTTGTTTTATTTCAGAAAACAGCATGAAATGCACTGGTGATTGTATTAACAGACAAACTGCAGTATATCTAAGTTAGCTAAATATAAACTGAGTCTCTCAAAAAATGACAACTGGTCCGAGGCCTACAGCCCCTTTAACCACAGCGACACATCTACATCTTACACTATGCATCTGCGTCAAGTAACGGAGATGTGTTAAAATACAGTTGTAAATAAGTACAGTGACAATAAAGACAATTGAATTTCGTATTGTATATAACATAATGCTCTATATTCTAGACATTCATTTGACGTACATTTGACGTACATTTGACGTACGTTTAACGTTATGGATAATGGTACATCTCAGTTATGTCGTAAACATCGGATGCCAACCGGGCTCTAGACCGTGAAGACATGTTTCCAGATAGAGGATAAAACACTTGTCATACTTGAACCGCACTTTTGTTGATGGTGCACATTTTACAGGTGTGGACTTGTAAATATGTTGAATTGAAACCTCCAGGATTAATGCTGAGTTGAAACCTCCAGGGTTAATGCTGAATTGAAACATCCAGGGTTAATGCTGACTTGAAACATCCAGGGTTAATGCTGAATTGAAACCTCCAGGGTTAATGCTGAATTGAAACATCCAGGGTTAATGCTGAATTGAAACATCTAGGGTTAATGCTGACTTGAAACATCCAGGGTTAATACTGAATTGAAACACCCGTGGCAATGCTGAATTGAAACATCCTAATTCCTCACTTAGGAAACATTATATTCAGTTCTATATACAAATCACATGTCATGGAGCCCTCAACGCATAAAGAACAAATAATGTCCTGATACTTCCATGTTGAAGTAACGTTGTTGTACAATATACACTACATCAGTGTGACCCTGCTGACCTTCAGTTGAACAGCTACCGTTACATCTCCCTCACAGGCACATATACACACAGGTTCACACACACACACACACACACACACACACACACACACACACACACACACACACGCACGCACACACACACACACACGCACGCACGCACACACACACACGCACACACACACGCACACACTAACACACGCACGCACGCACACACGCACACACACACGCACACACACACACGCACGCACACACGCACACACGCACACAAACGCACGCACACGCACACACTAACACACATTAACACACACACACACACACACACGCACACACACACACGCACGCACACACACACACACACACGTACACACACACACGCACGCACACACACACACGCACGCACACACACACACACGCACACACACACGCACACACTAACACACACACGCACACACTAACACACACGCACGCACACACGCACACACACACACGCACGCACACGCACACCCTAACGCACACACACACACTAACACACGCACACGCACACACTAACACACATTAACACACACACGCAC